TACCTAAACTGATCTACAAGTGACATACTTCAGCGCGAGATAACTTATTGAAAGCAATTGTGGAAGTTTACTGAATAAAGAGGGTAAGTTTTTGAAGAAACTTTGGTGCTGCGTCAGTGGGAGAGTATAACAGGGTAATTTAGCATTATCAGTTGAGTTGATAACGTAAATCGGCCACCGTAAAGAGTTGAAAAGCTCTTAAACTCCTTACGATGGCCGATTTACGCTATCAACTCAGTTGATAACACTAAATCACCGTAGAAGTTAATTTATTTGGTTTTGAAACTTTACCTTCATTGCCAGCTCTAATATCTGTTTCCCTACTCGTGTGTAGTTTGTGTGGTGTAATAACCTATGACCTCCGGGATATATGGCACTAAAATACGTAAAAGTCATAGACAAGGAAAAGTAGCGAAAGTAAAATAAGTCGAGAATGAGGAACAAATGAAATGCATGATGAGAAGTGGCCCGGTGAAGGGGGTGTGAGCGGGAATGAGGCAGTATAGGTTCGTAGCGCAATAGCAAGGGTTTTTCAAAGGGAGGTATCCCAGGTATGAATTTCCGAGTGTCTTACATGAGGTGGCTTATAACGCGGGTCTATATTGTGTATCAGTGGACTGATATTTAAGCAGTGAGAGGGACCAGCAAATGGGGTATCTGACACTGGAGAAAAGTTGCGCCACAAAGACCCTTAGGATTTTCACGTTTTTGCAAATCTGATTCATAAAACGTGAATTTTGTAGACCTCAAAATAATAAAACTATAATGATAAAAACCCTAATTATTTCAGAAAGTGGCGCAAGCTGTAAGCAGACCCTCCCCCCTTCTCTTAATTTCGCCTACGCCCTTGAAACAAGCGAGAGCGAACATTGTGACAAATGATAGTCTTAATCGACGTTTACACCATACCACGTTTCCGGTCTTTCTATTATAACCGTAAAGAATACCTTAATAGTAAAGAATTTTGCCGGTTCCATCTTTTGAGGTCGGCTTTGACTGTCGTTCTACTTACCCATTAATTGAATAAAATAATTTTTCAATTTCTTTAGCAGTGGAGTTAATGCTGCAGGATGTTGATTTAAGGGTTAAGAATCACACATTTACAACAAATCGCTGGGAATGTTATAAAGACTACAGAAAGTCTCCCCGGTTAAGCATACTGACGTGTAACGCCCCTGAACAAGCTGACAACACGACCACAAGAAAATCAAACATGGAAACCTCTGTGAATTTAAAGAGATGTTGTCGGTTTTGTAGGGAGAAAGCTTTGAGAAAGGTTTCCATATTCTTTTCCCAACTCCATTTTTTTTTTTTTTTGCACAATAGCAACCATGGCCTTCAGGGGAAATTATTTCATGGGCTCATGGTTTATGGACTCATAATAAATGGGTATAAGTAAAAGATAAAGTTTGCATTTGAGCCAAGAGTCCTATCCAGCTGTAATTTATTCCAGTTTTTTTTTAAATATAAAACGTTCACAAGGAACGCTTCTTTCCCTATAGGGTCATGTTCCAGAATATTCCGGAATGTTCCGTTATTTATCATGTTATGCGTAGCCATGCTGCTACTGATTTAAAAAAAGCATTTTATCTAATCATATAGAATGTTCTATCTATTTAAGTGGAGCTCATATCGTAATGAAACGTAAAAACACTATACACACAGGGAAACGGTATGACAATAAGTTTCGCCATTTAGTAGCGGCCTCGAAAGGCACTTGGCCAAACAGGCCTACCTTTTCGTAAGTAATCTGAGGGAGACTTATGAAAACGTCCATGAATAACTGCTATATCTGAAATAATCTTAAAAAAATAAACAGTTCGGAGTGTATCGTATTAAGACCCCTTCGGGGGATTCCTCTTATTACTTTTCAGCATTTCCTTCCTTCGTGTTCGAAAGGATCTCTCGATTCCTTGCATGACCTCGGTTACAATCAGGTTACCCTGATAATTCGCCGGTATCCATTTATACTCCCGGGTGGAGAGAGGCAAGTTATGTCAAGTTAAGTCACATCTTTAAGAGGTTGAGCCAATACATGATTACAAGAGGGCCAGATTTATAAAGGATACAAAATAGGTACCATTCTCCCTCCTGCAGACTCGATAAACTTGGCGTAAGTGGCTGCAATTAATTGACTTCCGAATTTCGTCACATTTCCATCCGTTTCTTGAGCGAGCACGCCTTCAGTGAAGCAGAAATAGGAAACAATAATAAATGAATGACCTTTCATTGTCCTTTTGTCAATCTGCGCTCGTGACGTAATCAAGCGTTATGCTCGAGCTTATAGGTGTTTCCCCTTCCTTTGTCTTATAAGACGGTGCTTGCTGTTTATTTCTATTTTTCCTAAGAAAACATCGCGCATAGTATTGATAAGAGTGTCTTTCAGAGGCGTTTTATTCATTAATTCATAAGGCCAAATCGCAGTTCTTACTTCCGTTTCTAAAGCAAGAGAAGAATATAATTGTAGTTTCACCGTATGACCAAACAAGTCTTGGCAAGACAGCCAAACTACAATAATAATAACAGACCTTTTCATATGACGACAACCCTTTCACTGGCATATTATTATTTTTCAAAAAGTTTGCTTACTCACTTACCAATAATTGGACAACAGTTGACTGTCTTCTCGTCATTTCTATGATTTAGGGTCGGAAATAGGTTAGAAAGTTGTATATGAGCCGGAAATGAATATATGAAAAAAAAATCGACAGAAATGCTCGAAAACGTTAAAAGACAAGGGAGAAATTTGCGTCAAATCAAGATTTTTAAACACTGTACCTGCTTTTTCCTTGTTTGTGGTTAGAGAACGCTGCGAATGTTTCGAATTCCACGGCTAAAGAAATCTGCGCCACCATAAGCAAAAATGCAATTTTCGTTATTTTTTCTTCTTTCATATTTCCTTCTTTCTGACTGTCTTTAATCAAATTCCTAATTGGCCTTCGAGGTGGTCAGTATTTAGTTTGGCGTTAGCTTACTGACCCCAGGCCAACTTCTTAACCCCATTTGGTGGCACACCTATTAAAAAGAGATCCAAGAGAACGTCGCCTTTTTATGGCCAATTCGCGTAGCGAGTACACCTGTCTCGCGGGTGTTCTGACCCCGAGTATCACAAGAGTGTCATTTTTATCAAGTTATTTATGATTTTACAACAGGGCAGTTTCTTAATGACTAAAACACGAGATCTGGTCTTGAGAAATTAAAAGACCTGCAGGTTGCACATCACAAACTGTTGGTTCTCAAGATAATATGAGGGACCGATCACGAATTTTTTATTTTTGCGAATGTTTCTTTCTGCTGAAAATTATTTCTTTTACGAACAAAACAAAATTGTCAAGAATAACAATATCGGAAGATTTTCTTCCGTTACAGAAAAGAATTAGGTTCATACTGCATTTTCTTGAATTTTCATCGACTTTAATTAGGATTATACAATTTATACTGAGAGGGAAATTTTTACTTTGCCAGATTTGGTATTATCTTCTGAAATTTTCCTCGCTTCCCGTAGTTAAAGACGTAATATATCAAACACGAGGAAGAGTGTTTCATCCGATATCCAAACACCGAGAAGTGGTTGAGAAAACGAGGCGCAGCCGAGTTTTTTTTTAACCAACTTCAAGGTGTTTGGATATCGGATGAAACACCCTTTCGAATGTTTGATATAGCTTCTCAAACCATTAATAATTCTCGGAGAAAATCAAAGCAAAAAGTCACCAGATTTTATGATAATTAAGATCACATATCCAAACCTCCTTCACGGTTGTAATTTCCTTTGTTTTCTCAGCATGAATTATTAATGAGTTTGAGAACAATATAGCAAAGTTCCAACTGAACGCAGAGTATTCGACTTGTTCATGGTTGATTAACCCTTACTATCAAGTAATGATAGTCGTGCTGTTTCTGTCACGAAAGATAAAATGGGCTTATGAATACTAACGAACATCATTTAATGATGATGTTTGCCCGGCTGAAAGAGGACGTAATCTCGCTGCACTCTTTGTTGCCCTTTCAAAATCTCAGTTACATCTTCTCACGTTCAAATTTTGAACGGTCGAACTTGTATTAAGCAGTCACCCTGTATAAGGCAGTCGGTTTTCAAATTCTCGAGATTCTTCCCCTCTAATTACTGTAATTTTCATTCTTATCAACCCTTTAACTCCCAGATCAAATTTGTAATTCCTCTTATTATCAACCATACAATTCTTATAATATTAGTTCAGAGAATTTAGCATTGGATCGACTACTTAGCCCCAAATTGATCTTTTTCTTTCTTCTCATCACTTATTTGCTTAATATTGTATAGATATTGTAAGGAGAAATTCTGTCTTGGTCACTCATGGGAGTTAAAGGATTAAGTGGTCGTAGTCACCCTTGACTGAGTCCCAATGGCCTGCTTGTATCGTTCTCCACCTGTATTGAACGGTCATTAAAGCGGAACTACTAGAATGAATTCGAAACTAGGAAGAATCTTTCGAGTAAAATTTAATCCTCGTTTATCTCCCGAAGTCAACACAAGTAGTATTTTTGAGCGAGTTCATGAGCATTAAGTGGTCAATTATGGCATAATATGTCGTTTTTATCGTTTTTAACAATACCTTTATTCTGTGAACTGTATCAGTCATCCCGCCATTCCCCGTGGGTGCACGTGCCGCTAGTACAGTTTAACCTGTATTAAAATACAAGTTCGACTATATTTTTTAAAAACTAAAGCAGAAATTGCTACTCGACTTTTCTACTAAATATGTAGTGAATCGATCACAACTTTCTTCTCTCTTTCCTCTCTTTCTTACAATTGATCCAACAAATTATTGGATTTGTGGCCGCCCAGTCATTTGGAGCTTGGATTTTTCGCCTCTCGGATCGGGCGCGTGCCGCCTTGGGCTTCTCTTATGCGGTGAACCTTGAAATGGAGAACTCGCTAAAATTGGTTATTTTCAACATAGAAAGCTGTCAGATAACAAGCAACGCACTGTGAAAGTAAGGTGAGGTATTTTCATTGAGAATTTGACTGTATTTTTTTATTCCTAAGAGCAGTCGTAAATATTCCCATAAAAACTCTTAAAATTTCGCCATGACTCGTATTTCGCAAGATGGTCTTCTCACAGCTGAAGCTTGGGCCATCTGTGGATCTACCGGCCAGCGTGCCAAACGGTCAAAGCCTTGACTTGTCTCGTTGGCACTTAACGATAGCTACACATTTACTTGACTTTGAGATCCGACGATGTGGAAACATCGTACATTTCTTTCGCTAATTTTTGTGTTGAAAATAATTGATGTCAATCTCTTAAAGCTATAATAGCAGAAATTACGCCAAAAATTCTAACTCAAATAGTCATTAAAAGGATAGACATGCGATAATTGTGGTTAATTCGTGAAATTGACATCACCGAAAAAGGATGATATCCAAATCAAGATGCCTTACCCCCACCCATCTCCTGTTATATTTTAATCTTCACCCTCCCATCCCTGAAATAAACCTGACGGTGAACTCAATATCAGGTTATCGTTGCTCTGGTTAAACGTGGTGTTATGAAGTAAGATCAAATATAAATGGCGAGTAAGGTAAGAAAGCCCATTTTTTCCCTTTGTTCTTGAAGAGTGAATCTGGGGTTTAATTAGTCGATTCGTGTCGAACTGAATCGATGCAAGCCAGTTGCTTCAGATGAAATATTTACCTCAGCCAAAAATTCGACATCTATACCCCTTTGATTACATCAGTCACAATCACTCAAGCTCTCCCCAAGGTCAATTCAAAAACACCCGTGCAAAGCCTGGTTCTCTTTTGACGAAAGAAGCCTAGGCGATCGGTGAGGATTACCGGCGTTTTCGCTGTCGTCCGGTATGATAATAATTTTGCCGGTATGATATTGCTGAAATGTCACGCACATGACAATACCCAGATTAACTGAGCATGACCCTGGGATACTACAAACGAATTTTGTTATGTAGCAAGTCGGCCGTAAGTTTTATACCTAATTTTAATAGCTATGACCTCCAGGTATAATAGCCACTTGATAAAAGAGGAGGCTTTTTCGTCTGTACTATGAAACAGCATTGCGTGAACCAGCTTTGAAAGAATGTCAGCGAGATCGTCACCCGTTGTATGCTTGCGTGACAGTGAATATGATTACGTTGCGTAATGTATAAAATGACACAGAAAATAGCAAACGACTGTTACGGCGCTGACGGATTAGAGGGGTGGTTTGGTGTTATGAGTACATATATTCTGATATGGAATAGTCTTACGTCGATGAAATGATCCAGTATCAAATCCAATAGCGCGGTGAATGGTCTA